GTGTCAGCAGAGCCACATTCAGACACAGGAGACCAGGTTCAGTGACACAGGTCTGCTTTATTGCAGGAAGGCACAAGCTTATATAGGGGTAGTGGTCCAATCACAGCACAGCAAGTAGGATACCTTATTAGCATAACAGACTTAGCGTCCTATTAGCATAACAGACTTAATGTCCTATCACAGAATAGTGGGTAGGATGCCTCATTAGCATAATGGGTTTCAGATTACAGAGCCTGGATTCCTGGAAACCACATGACCCTGACTGTTGCAATATCTAAGTGTTGCAATTTGGAATTCCAAGGGTGGTGATTAGGGAGTGGTGAGCTCTAGGCATCAGTCTCATGATCTGCCAATGGGAGCAAATGTCACAAGGCGTTCCTTGTGGCTCAAGCGGTCAGCTGTTGCCTTGGGTCTGCTGTATGGCTGTCAATAAGACTTTTACCCTAGGCTCAAGCCTGTCTCCCACAGGACAGGACTGAGGGTGCCCGCATATCACACCTTGACCAACAACTTGGGGCAAGTCTTCCCTGGCATCCCTGTTAACATTATGAAGAGAGGGGCCACACATCTGCATGCACTGCCACCTCCCTGAAGTGAGTTGACACCTGGCTTTTCTCAGTGCTCGAGAAAGAAGTTCCCCAGTGTGGAATGGGTTTTGCAGTAGAGTGAGTTTTTTTCAGTCCTAGTTAAGAGCCCAGTTGCCATGTCGGTAGCAGCATGCTTAGATACCTGCATGGGGACAGTTCTCATGGGCCAGGTCGTCTGCTCCAGTCCCCTACCCCACCCCCTGCACATGCCCAAACCTTGCCTGTAAAAGGTGCTTGAGATACACATGTCAGAAAAGCTTGTGTGAGCATGGTGGGTTCAGAGGGCCCCCCAGCGTGTAATGAAGGAGTGGATGGCTTCTTCCTCACCAAATGCCAACTCACCTAGGGGGAAATTAAGTTCCTATTAGCATCAGGGAGAAGCTGAAAGAAAATGAACAAGCCTCTCACCATAACCCAGCCAAGGCCACACCAACATCCTAGTCACACCCAGGAGAGGGCTCCATTATCGTTCAGCAACTATTATCCCACAGCACCCCAGGATCCCCATGGATGGCGTACTTTTTGCCCCACTGATGTTGAATGTTGGGCTTGAGTCTTGCTTTGGCCAATGGGACATCACTGGGCCTGACACAAGCCAAGGCCTCATGCCTGCTTATGGAGTGAGCCTTCCTGCCCTGTGTTTCTGACAGTACCATCAGAGGAGCTCCACCAGGTGCCAGCTCACCCTCCACATGGCCCAAGAACACAGCCATGATAAGCAGGCTTGAGACCAGTCTACATCCTGGGATCAAGTCAGCCTACATCAGCAAACCCCTCCCCAAACCTCCAAACGTGAGCAAGGAATTATGGGCTAGCTTATTACCCAGCATTGCTGTAGATATTGCTGACTGATATGCTGGTCTTCAAGATCAGCTAGCTGCTTACTGTGACTTGATAAAATACTGTTGTCCCTGAGACTGAAAAGCCTGCAGGAGGAAGAAGCAGGGGTAAGGAAAGCCCTTCCTGTGTATTTTCAGAAGGAAGAGGAGGAAGAAGAGGAGGAGGAGCAGGAGGAGAAGGCAGAAGGTTGTAGGTGTTGATATGAAAAGCAATCTATGATTTCATACATGTAAAACATGTATCTATATGCACAAGTATGCATGAGCATATTTTTGCAAAACCTTATAAAGCAATACATTATTAGTAAATATCAAGAGGTGGGCTTACAAGTCTTTCCTCTCGGGGCTAGAGAGATGGTTCAGCGGTTAAGAGCACTGACTGCTCTTGCAGAGGACCCAGGTTCGATTCCCAGCACTCACATGGTGGCTATACCGTCCTTAGCTTAAAGAGGCCTCTGTTTTTTTGCAGTATTATTCACAGTGGCCAAGATATGGAGTCACTCTCAGTATCCATTGATGAGTAAAGAAAATGTGATTTATACACCAATAGAACTCAAGGTTTTTTTATTACATTTATTCGTGTGTGTGTTTGCTATAGTGCATGTATGGGGGGGTCAGAAGACCACTTACTGGAGTCAAGTCTTTCCTTCCACTTCTGAGTCCCAGGATTCAAACTGAAGAGGTCAGATTTAGTAGTGAGTACCTTTACCCACTGAGCCATCTTACTGATCCATATCCATGCTTTAAAAAGAAGGAAACCAGGGTTAAGAGATGGCTCAGCTGTTAAGAGCACCGACTGCTCTTACAGAGGACTTGGGTTCAATTCCCAGCACCCACATGGTGGCTATGAACCGTCCTTAACTCCAGTTCCAGGGGAATCCGAAGCCCTCTTCTGACCTCCATGGCATTGCACAACATGGGTACACTCACATGCATGCAGGCAATACACTTATACACATAAAAATAATAAATGATATATTTTTAAAAACAAGTCTTTCCTCTAGTTTGCCCACTTACATGTTACTAAAATTTTTCTAAGTGTATAGAGAGAGACCTGGAAGGACAGTGTTCTGGGAGCAAGGAACAGCATGTGCAAAGGCCCTAAGGCACATAGCCACTTGGCTGACTCAAGGAACAGCAAGTATTTTGGAGCTGGAATGTAAGGAGGGAGGGGAGGTGGCAAGAGAAGACACGAGGGTAGAGGGCCAGGTCACACAGGACCTGTGCAGCCACAGGGAGGGTGCTGTGAGGAAGACCTACAGGAAGAGATCCTATTATATGACATGTTTTTAAAAGAACATTCCAAATCAGGTGTGGTAGCATATATCTGTGAGCCCAGCACTGGGGAGGCTGAGGAAGGAAGATCATGAATTAGAGAAGGAGGAGGAAAGGAAGATCAAGAACCTGGGCTACATGACAAGACCTTGTATCAAAAAAAAAAATCACGCTGGAGCTAGGAGTATGACCCAGTTATAGAGCACTTGCCCAGCATATGTGAGGTCTTGGATCCCATCCCCATAATAATTAAGTAAATAAATCATAAATAAATAACAAGATCATCGTGACAACCAAGAAACTTAGAGGCAGGGTTTTCGATTTTCATCACAGTAAAAGAAAATGTACCAACCAACACAGAGGTTTAAGGCAAGAAGGGGCATGCTAGCCTGAACTCAGCCAGAGGTCTTAAAGAAAGGTTTCCCCTGGGACCCCCTAGATCTACCTTTTCAGCAGAACCAGATGTTTAAGAGTCAGGCTCAGTGGAGGCAGGAGGATCAGGAGTTTAAAAACAGCCTGGGCCACATGAGACCCTGTCTTAAGAAACAAACAATGTGTGGATGAGATGGTCCAGTGGATAATGCTCTTTCCACAAAGCCAAGTGACCCGAGTTCAGTCTCTGGGACCCACATGATGGAAGGAAAGAACTGATTCCTGCAAGTTGTCCTCTGACCCCAGGTACAAGTTGTAGCACATGGGACACACACACGGAATAAATGTTTTTAAATGTTTTTTAATAAAAGAAACAACCACCACCAACAAAAGAACCAAGTCTGAATCCTACCTCCTGTGTGACTGCCCTGTGCCTCAGTCTCCTCACCTGTAAAAGGGGATTACATGACTCAGTGTGTGAATAGTGCCCAGAGCGCGGGGCAGTGAGGCCTGTCAGTGTGAGGGTGGTGGTTTTTCTGTCACCTCCACAGACCAGGAAGACTCCAGGAAGGAGGACCAGGGATCTGGTATGCAATCAGAGTCCAGAGAGTACATTAGGGGTGAAAACCCATTGGGACACAAATGCTCAGCGCAGGCCTACAGGCTGATGGTTCAGAGAAAGTGACTCCATCCATGTACCTCGGGCTCCTACCTGTGGAGTGGAGAATCTAGTGCAGGGGAAGATGGAGAGCAAGTAGGTGGACTCCAGAGCACCTCAAGGCTGCTGGGAGGTGGTGCTGGGAGAACCACGCAGCTGCTACCAGCCAGCCCCACCATCCTGAAGAAGAGCCCAGGCATTTGAGAGGAAGCAGGAGCAGGAACACCATTAGGTGACAAAGTCGGCCACCAGCTTTCTCGTAAACATCTTTGTACATGTTGACAGACTGTCCTCTGCAGGTTACCAATCCCTAAAAGTCAAATTATGCTGCCAGCAAAACAGAAGACATTTGCTCTTAGGGGCCCCTGGCCCCCATAAAGGAAGCAGGAGGAGCCGAGCCTCCTGGGAGAAGCAGGCCCAACGCACCCCTACTATACAGATACACACGTGCTAAGGAAGGTGTGCACACTCACTCAGGTCCTCCACTCAGGCACACTCACTCACACTGGCCTCAGTGAGAGAGGCACATACATAGACTCCTGAATTTAAAATTCAGAAAGACCCAGCTCTGCACAGGCATGATCCAGGGACAGAGCCTAGACTGAAACCCAGCCCTGAGCTGGGCATGGAGACCCACACCTGTCATCCCAGCATTCTGGCAGGAGGATCATGAGTTCCAGGCCAACTTGGGCTACACAGCAAAGTCTTGTCTTAAAGACACCAGCTCTGCCTGCCTCTTAGACCTGAGACTCGAGCGACTTAACTCAGAGTCTGTTTCCCCACCATCAGTGGCAGTGAGAGGGATGGCCCCTTCATCAAGAAGTTGACCAAGTCTTGACTGACAGAGCTGGGCACAGGGCTATCAGAAACTATTGGTGGCCACCAGGCCCTTTTAAGGAACACTTGTGAGTCACAATGAGCCCCCATGGTTCAACCGAAAGCCTCAGGATACAACACGGGCACAGCGAGGAAACAGCCCCAGAAACCCTCAATGCAGAGGAGACGTCCCTGAGGAGGGGTGGCTTCTTCCTACCAACAGGGACACTGAGTTTCTTGTCCCTTGGTCCCCCAAGGAGACACTATTCAAGGAGACAGCATCTAGGGCAGGACTGTCACCCAGCCAGGGGCCTCCTCCACACACCAACAGTGTCCTGTAACAAGACAGCCAGCTCCTGGCCAGCACATCAGCTGAGGGAGAGACATCCCAGGGCTCTGACAAGCCACTGGGCAGGGCCAGGTACCCAGAGAGGGCAGGGTTGGGTCACTTACCTTTCTCCGAAGCTGGGGCCAAGTCAATGAAGCTGCGGCATTTCTCACCTTGGGAGAGAAAAGAAAGGTTTCAGAATGCAAAAACTTTCCACAGCAGCTTTCTGTCCCCTTCTCAAAGCCCCAGAGCCAGCAGCACCCCAACCCCACCCATGAGGCTGATCGATGCCTTACCCCTTATTCCTAGCAGCTCTGTGTACCAAGAGCATGAGTGGGAACTGCCAGCTCTTCATGCCTACCACGCAGATCCCTCCCATCCATCCTGTACACTGATCACACGAAGTATAAGCATACACACATGCACACACATGTGCACATACATGTATGCACAAACACCTTTGAGGACGACCCAAAGAATAGATCCAAATTTCCATTATGAGCCCAGGGTGGCCTCCATGAGCCTAACTGCACCCCCTTCCACATCCCTCCTGCTCCACCTCCTTTTGTCTGTTTTGAGAGGGGGTCTTTGAAGCCTCTAGGCTCCCAAGCCTCCTGCCAAGCACATGTTAATGCAAAGGTGGCCAGGATGTTGTGGGAAGTGACATTAAGGAAGTCAGGGCCCAAACACAGTAGGTCTTGAGGGCCACCAAGGAGCTGTCTTCTCTCAAGTCACTCTTGCCCAAGAATCATAAGGCCAAAAGCTACAGGCAGGAGGTATCACTGTGTTAGCTGAGGCAGGTTTGCTTCCACAATCTGCTCTGCACTGAGAGGTAGGACCCTGACCTTCCTTTGCAGATGAAGACAATAAAGGCTCAGAAAGACTGAGCAACGAGCCTAGGTCACACAGCAAGACGGTGGTCCTAAATTATGATCAACAATATAAAGGGAAATTTGCTGATAAGAACTGGGAGAGAATTAAGAAGAAAGGGTCTGGGGGCTGGCTCAGGGGTGGGACACTCATATTCACAAAGCTCTGGGTTCCATCTCAAAAGCACCCCCCCAAGAAAGAAAATTTAGTTTTGTGTTAGATTTTGAGTGAATTGTTTTAAACCTTCATTAATGATATATTGTTTCCCTCAAAGCCATAAGGAGTAAGTCAAATAGCCAAATTCAGGCCAGCCCCAGGGCCACACTGACTGGGTCTTAGATACATCTCCTTCAAGGAACCCCTTCCCACACAGAAAATAAAACCAGCATTAAAAATTGTGTTTCAGCCAGGTGTGCTGACACACACCTGTAACCTGGGAGGCTAGGACAGGAAGATCATGAATCTGAGGTTAGTGAGACCCTATCTCAAAAACAATTATATTTTGTAGCCTTACTGCTATAAAGGTGTTTATGTTAAGTATTAAACACTTCCTCCATTTCAAAGTTTAATTATTCCTTCTGATTTTAAAAGAAACTGAAGCATTTGCATAGGCTGGTGAGGACAGGCTCCCCGGCTCCCACCACAACTGGCTCCCAGATAGGGTTTAAGACATATGTGCCAGAGATTTTGCTGTCTCCTCCCTTTGACAATGCTTTGTTTGATTCTCTGCTTTAAGGGGGACAATTCAACGGTTTTCCATGTAGTCTCAGTATCGTCTGTCAGAAGGCCGCATAACTATCACACAATCAATTTCACACATTTCCTCATCCCCCAAAGAAACCCTGTACCTATTAGCAGTCCACCGTCAGTTCCTCCAACCCTCCCAGCCCTAGGCTACAGCAAATCTATTTTCTGTTTCTGTAGGTTTGCTTAGTCTGGGCATTTCTCAGAAATGAAATCATCCGGTATGTGGCCTTCTGTGACTGGCTTTTCTCCTTAAAGGTTTCAAGGACTGTCCATGGTGTGCCATGTATCAGCATTTCACTGATTTTTATTAGCAAAATAATATTCCTTTGTTTTGTTTACCATAACTTCTGTTACTTTGGTCAACTCCAGTCTGAAAATAATAAATAGAAAATTTTAGAAATGGTAGAGACATGATAGAATAAAGAGCTTTAAGCTTTTATGAAATCCTTTTTATCTATTTTCCTTCTGTGGTGTGTTTGGGATCGTATCTAAGAAGGCTTGCCTAACCAATCTCACGAAGATTCATTCCTGTACCCTCAGAGTTGTGTAATATTAGCATTGATCCTGTGTCTGGTGTACATGAGGGGTCCAGCTTTGGTGCATGGCTGTCCAGCTGTTCCAGGGCCTCTTCAAAAACTAATTTTTTCAGGCATCCACTGGTGTGAGTGTGGAGTTTGTCTGCCCTCATATCAGCACAGTCAATCTTCGTAGCTTTGAAGTTTTGAAATTGGAAACTGAGTTCTCTGATTTTGACTTTTAGAATTGTTTTGGCTATTTGAGGGCTCTGGCATTTCCATGTGAATTTTAAGACCAACTTGTCAGTTTCTGCAGTAAACCAGACTGGGATTTTGTTGAGAAGTGCACCGACTCTGAAGAGCACCTTGTGGGCAGAGCCAGCTCAGATGAAGCCTTCTTTCGCGAGCGTGGACTGCCTCCTCTCTGCTTAGAACTGTTCACATTTCCTTCAACAATGTCCTGTAGTTTTCAAAGCATAGGTTTCACGTTCCTCTCATTAAACTTATTCCTGTTTTACTATTTTATACTGTTATAAATAGAATGGTTTCCTTAATTTCATTTTTGGATTCTAGACACTGCTGGTGTCTAGAAATGTGATTCATTTTTAACACAGACACTGCACCCTGCCATCTTGCTGAGTGTATGTTCTAGTTCTGATGGTTGTCACTCAGTTCCCAGGATTTGCTGTACAATCTAAGTTCATGTCATCTTCAGAGATGGGCTTGCTTCTTCCTAAATTTATCTCTTTTGTTTGCCCTCACCTGCTTTGACTAAAACCTATAGTGTAATGTTGACTAGAATTGGCAAAAGTGGACATCTGGGTCTTGTCCCCAGTCTTAGGGGGAAGTTTGTTAGTTGTAGGTTTCTGACATTCTTCCTTTAATCAATCTGAGGTCACTCCTCCGCTCCTCCTCCTCCTCCTCCTTTTCTTCTTGTAGTTTGTGAAAAGTTCTATCAAGTTTTTTTTTTTTTTGCTTTCTCTTTCACCTCTAAGAATCCCCACTGTAGAGATGCATGAACTGAGCCTCTGAACTTTCTGTAATTTACCCAACACCACACAGCAAGTGATGGGCAAGGGTACAACTTGACCCATGGACTCTGAACTCCAGGCCCTGAACTGCTCCCAGCTAGCTATTCCCAGAGTTTCCTACTGTGGCCAGCTGTTCCTGCTGTCTTGCTCCCAGCTGAGTCCTGTAAGGAATCTCCTGGGAGCATACCTCCATGCAGATGGAGGAAATACACATGGGGCTAAATAAATGGCTCTCATGATTCTATTTCTGTCACACAGATGAAAATGAAAAGATACTTGAGCAGATATGGTCAAACTTAGCCCATGCTGCTTATGCAGTGCAAAGCTGATGTTTAAGGAAAAATTATTAGAAGTGACACAAGGGAGACAGGATGATGCTTCGAGGACCAAAGTTCTACCAGCCGACATAAAAATATGATGCCTTTGTCTCCATGATAGAGATTAGCTCAACATTCATGAGAAAGATGTTGAATGGCGCCATATTGATGTGTTGCTTTTACAAGTGGCCCTTAAAGCATCCTTGTGCTGGGTATTATTAAGCTGATATGTTTAAGTAAGGGGTTATGATGGATATAAAACTGAAGTGCACTGACCCCTGTGCCACACATACCAGCCTGAGGCAAGACCATGAGATTACTGAGCATTGTTATGTTTCAGCCTCCTGATGCTAGCATATCTTCTTGGACCATGGACTGAAGAAGGTGGCAGTGTCCCAAAGTCATCTGATTTAAGAGGTCTCCAGGCCCACAGGTTCAATGTGTCTAAAAGCCACCGGGTGGTTTAAAGGTACATCACTCACCCTCCCAAGAGGGCGACCTGTCCCCAGAAAGGACAGTCCCTAAAGGCCCATAGTATCCCCAGAACCCTATGAAAGGGGCTTCCACAGGGGACAACTCTGTTGAGGAGGGGATCAGATTTCAGCAGAGAAGTGGGCTGGGCCTCCTAAGCAGCAGCCCCTCCATAGCACCCTAAGGAGACAACAAGATCCCTAGGGAGCATTGGCCTGGGAAAGAGAAAGCCAGACGTTGGCTCAGCAAGAATCTGGTTACCCAGTGAGGGTCCTGTAGCTCCCACAGGAAGGAGAAGAACCTCTAGGTGACTAGAGGGTTCTACAAGTTCTGGGAATGCCCTGTGACTGGGGGCTGGGAGGTATCCTCAGTTATAAGGAGTTTGACTTGCTGGCTCCCCAGCAGACTGGATACTGTGTGCACACCAGAAGTCAGGGTGTATGCTCATCCCCCCACCACCTTAAAGAACAGCACTGGGGCACTGCATCCTTAGAGACCCACATGTGGGACTCAAAATGCAGCCCACAGCGTCACCCACGCAAGACATGAGTGGCCAACAGTGACTGAAGGGCCTGTGGGGATGGGTAGCAGGGCTAGTCCTGTCTAGATGGATGAGAATTGACATTCTGGCCATGCAGGTCATCAAGGCCTGGCAGAAAGCATATGGCACCCTCCCAGGGGTGCACTGTGGCTATTTATAGATGCATTGGCAGGGTGGAGGCCTAGCAACTAGAAAGCCAGCACTGCCCAGGGTCTGACAGGTGGTGCAGCAGGGGGGTCTGTCCACGAGTCTTGCTGCGATGGTTCAGTTGTTCACTGACTTAACTGTCTACAGAGTGTGCCTGTCCTGGACTTTGTTTACAGGTGAATGTGTAGACCAGGGCTGGAGCACAGCATGAAGCTGCCCAGAGGCCACAGGCTTGACAATGCACAGCTCTTTCTGGAAGTCAAAATCAAAATCAGCATATTAAGCACTGGTCTACAGGTGTTTAATTTTGAGCCTAAAAATATACTTCTCCCCCACCTGCACACCATGTTTATTGTGGCCCTATTCATGACAGTCAAGTTCAAAAAGCTGCCATAGTACCTAGGAATGGATGAATGGAGAAAGACATGGTGTGTGTACATGATGGAGTTTTGCTCAGCCATAAAGAATGAAATTCTGCCATTTTCAGGAAAACCGACAGAACTGGAGATCATTATGTCAAATGAAACAAACAAT